ATATGAAAATTCGAAAAATACAATTAAACGACGAACGACTAGCGATGAGCGCCGAACGATGAACGACGTAAGACTAACAACAAAAGACCAGAAACCATATAGTGAAAAAAACAAAAAAACTAAAAATTCGAAAAAACAAAAAATATAAAAGTTTGAAAAATATATCATTTTAAAAAATTTGAAAATATAAAAATTCAAAAATTTAAACACGAGAAACAAAAAGTGTGGTTGAAACAAGCGCCGAAAGTCGTACGATGAGCGTCGACGGACGAGTGGCGAACCACTTACGAAGATCAACGAGTTCGATAAACATAAAAATTCGATCAGTTCGATAAACATAAAAATTCGAAAAAGTTAAAAATTCTTTAAATGTAATATTTCAAAAAATATAAAAATTCGAATGATATAAAAATTTGAAAAATATTAATACATGAAAAATATAACAATTCGTAAATATAAGCAAACAACGTACGACAAAGACCAGCGACGAGCCACGAACAAATTGCGCCGTTCGACGAACGATGAAACACGAACAACGAACGACCAGAAACACAAAAAGTAGGAAAAACAAAAGATCCAATATTCGAAATAACGAAAAATATAAAATTTCAAAACATAAAAATTAGAAATATATAAAATTAGAAAAATATTTAAATTCCCAAAATATATTTTCGAAAAATATATTAATTCTATAATATATAAAAATTCGTAATATATAAGTATCGAAAGATAAAATAAAATTCGAAATATATAAACAAACTACCTGGGTGCTAAGCTTTAGGCTAGTTTCAAATTTCGACTTACCTTCAGGCGCAAATCGAGACTTATATTATTCTTAAAAACAAAAAAGCAGAGAATTTCATTACATTTATTAATAAATTTGAATCAATATATGTAGTATTTAAAAGTATATTTAAATAAAATTAAATTTCTATTATTATTGCCGGCCTTTTTTGAAATTCATATTAAAGAGTAGGCAAGCCTGGCCTAACCTTATTTTGTATTTTAAAAAATCTCATTTTGTGAGGGTAGAACACTAGCGGGCTGTTTACGTAGCTGTCGTGCGTTGTTCGTAAACCAGGCTGCTAAGCTTTACGCTGGTTTCAAATTTCGTTTCACCTTCAACTCGCTAATTGGGTGCTTTTATTATTCGTTCAAACTAAAAAGCAGAGATTTTCATTACATTTATTTATAAATTTGAATCAATATACGCAGTAAATAAAGGATATTTAAATAAAATAAAATTTCTATAATTATTGGCGGCCTTTTTTGACTTTCATATTCAAGGGTTGGCATGCCTGGCCGTGGCTACCCTAATATTGTATTTTAGAAAATATCATTTTGTGAGAGTAGAACACTTGCAGGCTATCTACGAATTTGACTATCGTGCGTTGTTGGTAAACCATTGAGCTACCTGGCTGCTGAGCTTTACGCTAGTTTCAAATTTCGACTTACCTTCGAGGCGCTAATCGGTTGCTTTTATTATTCTTAAAAACAAAAAAAACAGAGAATTTCATTACATTTATTTTTAAATTCGAATCAATGTACATAGTATTTAAAAGTATATTTAAATTAAATTTAAATTTCTATAATTATTGGCGGCCTTTTTTGAATATATATATATATGGATATTATAGGGTAGGCACGCCTGGCCGTTGCCTACATATATATTGCATTTTTAAAATCTCATTTGGAAGAGTACATCACTAGCAGGCTGTCTATGTATTTGACTGTCGTGTGATGTTGGTAAACCAGCAAATACCTGGCAGCTAAGCTTTACGCTAGTCTGAAATTTTGACTCACCTTGAAGTCACTAATTGGGTGCTTATTTTCAAAACATTTAAAGCTAGTTTTGAATACAACATAATTTTCACTGACACAAACTATTACAAAATACCTGGGCCTTTGAAAATCACACTTCAACACACTCTTGATTTTCTGGCTGACAATATTAGAATTTAAAGAAGGATGGCCTAAATGATACAGTTCTTTAAAAAGTGTGATGTAATTTAATTTGACCAGATGCATTGGTAATTTTCACACAGAACAGTATTCGAAATGGAAACTCAAGGCCAACTTCACGAACATTATAGTGTTGCCCAATTTGCAAACACGTTTCCACTCTACTCTGACTAGTTTTGTCTATTAATAGCAATCATACAACAGATCTCAAGTAAATGACTTAATAATTCTTATTTATAATTTGGCTTGGGTTAATAAATCACAAACTTCACTCCTATGCCTTAATTTTTCCTACCTTTGCCTGGCATCCTGATCATGCTAATTGTATATTTTATATTGTACATAAATATTTATTTTTATAATTATGTTGCTACATGCACATTTTTATTGTATTCTTTTTGTAAATAATGGACTTGTCCTTATAATAATAATAAATAAATATAATAACAACGAAAATACTATTTTACACAATTCAATTTTTATATTAAAATTATATAATTATAGTATTTCTTTTGTAAGCGGCAAAAGTTATTTGTATCAGGGTGTGAGATGTGTGACCCCCCTGGTTTAGTCAGATTCAACAATTTGTGGGTCCTTGATACCAAAAAATTGGTTAAGGCAAAACGTCCATTTGTGAAAAACACTAGCACTTAAAAAGTATTCTTAGGATATTTTTCAAAAGGAATATTCTCCTATCCACCTGACCCATCTCGAAGCACAGCAATTTCGAAAAACATTCTTCACATTTTAAGGGATCTTGGCAATGGACATTTTTGAAGTTTTCTCAAGAATGACTCCAAATTTTTCTGTAAATTTCTTGTTTCAAAATACACTCTCCCACACAAAAATTTCCTTCGCATCATATTTGTTTTCCACAATTAGTTTTTTCATTAATGCCAGGTATTCCTGGCTAAATTTTTGTGAAAATTTAAGCAGTTTTATAGCAAATGTTCAGTAAAATAGGGGCAATATTAAAAAAAAAAAAAAAAAAATCTGCAAACGTTTCCATATATTTTCTCTAAAATTTTTTAAATGGATAGTGCTAAATGCACTGTATGGGATGACAAAATGCCAATTCGCAGTATTCTTTTGTTTTTTCAAAATTTACACACCCTTTTTTTTTTAACTTCCTTCTCATATTGTTAATATTTACGTTACTGACAACTTATATACATAATTGCATTTTTAAGTACTTGTACTTCGACTGATGTCTTGTATAGTTTCTCGAAAACTTTTCTTTGAAAATAGACTCTTTAATTCTAGAATTTAATTAACGTCAAAAGCCGTTTTCTTAAAATTGGCTCCAATTTTTTCCTTCAAACTTTTTGAATAGATTGTGCTTAATTCATTGTATAAGATAGCATAAAAGCCATTTGTGTTTTCTTTTGTTTCTTCTTTTCAAAAATTTGACAAATGTAATTTTTATAGTATGAATAGTATACTGACTGAACGACAGATTACAAAGAAAATCTCATAAACTGATATGTATTCACGAATCCTATTAATTTGGCAAATTATGCATTTACAACCACATGTGCACGGCTTGTTAAATTCTCACCTATGTCTCTATCTTTAATAACAAATTCTCTCCAATACTATTGACAAGTGCAATCTGCTAATTCTGACTTAAACAAGAATTTTAATATAGTACAATTAAAATACAGATTGTTTTTCCTACTACACAGTTTTTTTTTAATTAAGTAAAAATAAAGAGAGAGAGAGAGAGAGAGGAGAGAGGAGAGAGAGAGAGAGAGAGAGAGAGAGAGAACAGAAGAGAAGAAGAGAGAGAGAGGGGAGGGGGAGAGAGTGGGGAGAGGAGAGGGGAGAGGAGTGTGTGTGTTGCAAGCATTATGTAATTATTTAGGAGTTTGAATGCTTGTTGCAGGGGGAAAAGACTGTATTCAAAATACTCAAACTTGCATTGTGTATTGATGGATGGCCCTTACAAAGATATTTTTGAAATGTTCTTTAAGAATTGAAATTAATTGATAAGATCTGCCAAAGCCTCCTTAACATGTTTTGACAAGATGGAAAACAAGGATTGCAAAACTGTTTACTCCAATTTTTCAAGAAAACACACTGTGAGCATGAAGGGTGCTTGAAGTATCATCAGTTGGATTAGCAAAGAAACATCTTGATTTTTTAGAAATAGAAAAATTACCTAATTTTGTGACATGAAGAAAGGGCAGATTCCAGTGAATCATTTAAACATTTAGATAAGGCTGTACATTGGCTACTGATAGTGCCAGGGGAAAAAGAAGTATCAGTAACCAGAAATGTTTTCCCACAATTCTGATTAACAAATCTAAAGACATTTTGAAAATTTGGGGGGTGACAATTCAGTTGCTGCAGTAATGAATGCTTCTGACAAATTGGGTTTAAGACCTGTCAATGTTAAAGAGATCTTTCTCATAAGTGAAGGATATTTCGTCCAACAGAAGGTAAAATTAAACCATAGAAATTTAGGCAATCACTTGATTGTTTTAGGCAGGGTTTAGAAGCTCAAAATTTGTCACAAAATTGTCTTTTCATATACTTTTTTTTTTCTCTAATTATTAATCTAACTTGTGAAACCCATATTATACAATGTAAAATGTTTAACCTTATCCGTTCCTTTTTTTCCCCTCTTTCTTATTTTAGCAACTTTAAGTATTTTATTGCCTACCTGTTTTAGAAATTAAAAGTGTCTAAAGTTTCAGTCTACTTATTGCCCAGCATTTCATTCATTACAAACTTGAACTGAAACATCTTCAATTAAGTGTTGATGTCATTCCACAAAACTAATTTTAAAATCATATCATTGCAAAGAATGGGTACTATTTTGTTTCATTTCTTAGAACTCAGAATTCATATATTAATTTCCAAAATGTATGAATGGATTCACTGTCAAGACTTCCACTGTTCCTTCAATGAATGTATGTTTTGTATGTATGAATGTAGTTTTAATATTCATTCTTAGTAACAAGATTTAGACAACCTAATACCACAAACTGACACATGTAGAATGGACTGAATGTGTTTTTAAATAAAGACAAATATAAAAATGGATGAATATTTTTTTTATTACACAGCGATTAAATGGAAATATATGGGAAATGTATCTTTGCATTTATTTCATGTAAAAAGAATGGTGAATTGACAAGCCTACCTGAGAGAAACAAAATAAGGTTATCAAGCTTGTACTCCTAGGTGTCTATTGTAAGTACGATATCTCATGAGATCTATAAGAGATCACGAAATGAATGAAAAATGAACACATGAAGATCACCATTCTATTTACACTGCTGAAATTAAACAAATAACAATTCTTATTTCTTTATAAAATTTTTAAAAATCTGTACTATGCACTTTATATAAAAATAATCTTTTACATAGCTACAAGACGAATATCATCTATCATGGCAGTCATGAAGATTTCCTCTGGCAGCTTTTACAAGAAATTGCACATGAAATGCTATTAAACAGAACAGATGTTCTTTTAATAACATGTTAAATACCATATTGTATACACCATTATTCAATGAACACAAGTGGAATTAAAAGCAAAATACTTGTCTACTGGTACAATGCAAACCAAGTATGACCCAGCACAATGGTTTGATACTGCAAGATGCATTACACCATTATACAAGCATTCTGCTCTGAATGATTAAGATATACAAACTTACATTACAAATATTCACGCAGGCAAGACATGAAAAAAAAACAAAAAAAAACAAACAACCAACAACAAGGAAAATGTTACATTTGGGGAGAGGGGCAACATACTATATATATACACATACACTGAACTTCTGAACAGTCACTAAACCAAAATCTGAAGAAAAATCACTACATGAAGCACATTACTAAAAATGTACTGGCTTTTTATTAACAGTTGTCATTATATTATTATCTCATGATAATTGATCTGAATAATACGAAAAATAGTAACACGCAAGACTAACAGCACTAGAAGACATGTTCCACTAAAAACATTTAAGAAAAAACTGAAAATAACTGTTAGTGCATTACCATAGTAAAAAGTATTCATAAAAATTACATTTCACGTTGTTAGTTATTTTAGTCCACTTTGCCCATCTCCAGACACTTTTCAATTTGACAGTGTTTATTAAGTTATAATCTAACTTCATAAATTCCCACTTTTACAGTCAATCACTCACATTGAACTAACAAAACATTAAATAATTTACTTTAAACACATAAATCAGCAGTGTTCCAATCTCTCAAAAAACACATTCTCTAGGCAGTGGAAGAGTTCAGAATCAACTTTGTGACAATTCAAATTTTATACCAAGAATTATTTTACACATCCATCACTCTACAATTTTACACATTTTTGCGATAAAAAAATGGCATGATTTGAATTCTAAAAGCTAACAATCCACAATTGCAAATTATTTTACTTAATGCATTTCAACAAGTAAAATAAAAATCATTGCCCTTTTTAATAAACAATATAATTTTCTTATTAAAAACACATCAGTTTTAAGATTAAAACATCATTTCAAATCATTGTTTTATTCATGAGGTAAAAACTTGCACAGTTCCAGCAAACTGATAATTAAAATATTTAAAGCATTGATGTTGAAAATTGGTCCTTACATGACAGATTGAGTTCAGTCTTCAAATAAATCCTTACTTTGTACATTGTTTTACTTATTTACAATCCCAGTCTCTTCAAGTTGCGAAAACCAGAACGTGACTTGCTGTCACCGGACTTAGTTTTGGAACGGAAGAAACGTAAATCTGCATCATGTTTAGGATCCAACATGGGCAAATAGGCACATGGTTCACATAATTCACTATGCCTCTCATAGAATTCCTTGTATCCCCCATGAAGTAGATACACCTCAGGATAATGCAGCGCTGGATATGATTCTTTGTTCAATACTCTGTCAGAATTTCGCAAGAAGCGTGACCTAAAAATGGATACAAAAATTTAGTTTCTTATAGTAAACATAGACAACCTGTAGTCAAATAAGACCTTCATTAATAATTAAATTAATATACTAAACAATGATATTTTGGCAAGTCCAAAGACATTGTGAGAAGGTAAGGGTACAAGCCTAAGAGTAGTAATTCTGAAATTTAATGATAATCTAAAACAATGCCCACAGTGTTTTAAATAAACCAAGTTCAAATTATATGAATTTATTTTTACACCCATTCCGTACTTGAGCTATTAGGCACATATGGCATCTAAAAATAAGCACACCAATCAACTTTACTTACAACTTTGGTCCCCGTTCAGATGAAAATTCACAATGAAAAATGAGAATGTTGCGTTTGCATGTAGACACAGGTCTTGACTTATTTATTTCCACAAATTCCTTCGAGATCTGATCTTGAGTATAGAAATTTTTAGCTCCTTTAATATGGCCAGCATTGTATTCATATGGATACCTGAAAGAAATTATACATCTGCATTACTGGCCTTCCGTCTGAATTGCTTTTTCTACATCTGTTATGAAAGGATGTAATAACCCAAACTCAACAAAAAGTTTAAATGTCCAAATGAAGAGAGGTAATTAATATTGAAAAATATACATGTACGTTAGGATTTCAAAATTCGAAACTACTATTCATACACAATACATGCAAATAGAACAACTGATTGGTTTGCAGAAAGTATGAACCAAAGATTGGAAGATTTGAAATTCAAATCCACCCTAATGAATGTTTGCAAGGGAAGTCAATATTAATGGAAAGATGACTAGCATTTTTTTGAATTATTCCAAAACAAAACTCACCGGCAATCTACTATAGTGTAGGAATCAACAGTCTCATTATAATCTCCTTTCAGTAATTTAGCTAAGGTGTCAGATGAAATAGTTTTTAAATCCTGGTGTCTGCCCTGCATCAATGGTAGAACAAATGGTTTGCTAAAATCTCCAATAAGGTCAGGATCCTGAGAAGCTGTGAAACAAAAACAGAACAAATAAGATGGCATTCATGACAATCCTAAATCTATGAATTGTATTGAAAATATGGTAAACAAGGGGATAAAAAAGCAAAGACTTCACAAAAAATCATGTCAGTTATTGCAAAAAATCGAGGATGTTGATAAATGGTGATTACATATAAAGTAACACTTACATCTTTGCAAGGCTCGTTTAATAGTAGCTTCAGATACAGAAAAGCTACGTTGCAAGCGCACAGTGGTTACAGTTTCTGATACAAAAGTTTGCCCACTTCTGGCAGAATTGTCTTCAGAAATAATGGGTAGAGGATTGATTTTTGGCCGTTTCAAGCATTGAATCACAGATGAATTTTCACATGGAGGTTCAGGTCGTTTAAATACTCTAACACTTTCTGACGTTGTGAAGGTTTCATCCTTCTCCTTTGGCGATGCTCCAAAAGAATACCTGGAGACCTAAAACAAACAAATACACTTTAGAACAAAATTTCCTTATTTAGATTGAAACATTTTATATTTGAATGTGAGAGATTGCCCTTACTCTCGTTGATGTCTCATTGAGAGAAAGGCTTCTACGAAACGGAGGTCTTGGTCTTGATTCTAAAGTTGCAGTTTCTTTTTTGGCAGTATTTTGTTCCTTCAATGGGTAGGACAGTAGACTGCCCATACCACTCGGAAATTGAGATTCTTCAACCTAGAACCAAATATAACATTGATTAAGTACGTCCAAAAAAATCAAGGTTTACTCAGAAGAGGGGAATTAAGATATACTTACAGGTTTCTCGCCATCGAAAAATTCAACAAAGCCATCATCCACTGATTCTGTTCCTGAAGTAGAACCCGATGACAGAGAATGAAAGTACTGCGGACTAGCATAGCCTGAGCGACTACGAGGGGATCCTGTCAGCATGTCTTTGCCAGGAGATTGATCCAAGAGGCTCAGCTGCCGTCGTGGTGCTGTTCCCACAGGCTCGACAAACCTGTGAATTTTTACAAAAGAGATATAATATACAAAAACAGAGTACAAACCCGGCAATCATTAAGCATTCAAATTTTATATCAACATACCTGAATGCAGATTTATCTTCTTTGTCAGCAAAAACAGGTCCATACCCACTGTCTTGAGAGTTAGGATCATGGTCTTCAAGAGGTTGTCGCAGCCGAAGTGGGCTGAGAAACTGCAACAAGAACGCACAACTATATAACCGATACTAGTACTCACATGTGCGGTTTAGAAATCGCCAAAGAGTCACCCTATCATTAAGTCTTTCCTATCGAGTTATCGCAGAGGGGAAGGGCAAGCGGTCCGTGCCGCGTGGGCGAATGGGGAGGGGGCGGGGGCGGAGCGGGCCGGCGCCGCGGAAGCGCCTTGACCTGCGGCCGCCAGCGCTGCGCTCATTAACACAGCGGCGGCTCGCGCCAGGCCACGAACGGCTCCTTCACACAAACGAATTTCTTCACAAAACATCGCAATCGCCAGTTACCAAGAACTTCCGAACCTACGGGCATTTTTTCCGCTACATACAACACGGTCAATAGTGAAGCATACAAGTATTTGAGGCGTTTCAGTTAGTTCCGCACAGCTGTCAAGCCGTACATATCTCATATGCATTTTTGAATATGAATATCAGAACCCCATGTTGAAAGGTTCCAGCAAAGCGATTACTTACCCTGGCGGGGCTGGCGAGCGCAGGGCTGGCGGCCTTGGCGGGGCTGGCGAAGGGCGCGCCGCCGGCCAGGTCCTCGGGGGCCATGGGCGCCGCCGGGCTGCCGGAGGCGCGGTTCTCCTTGTCGCTGGTGCTGTTGCTGTTAGCGCCTGCGTGCGGCTGCTGCGCGCCGCCCAGCAGCGGGCTCATGATGACGCGGCGCGGCAGCAGCCGGCTGCGCGCGGGCGCCTGCGACGCCGGGCTGCTCGGGAGCTTGATCACGTTCTTCAGCAGCCTGCAAAACCACACAACGCTCGTCACCTCGCTGTCGCTGTCGCCGCCGACCCCCAGGGGCGCCCCGCGCCACACCAACACGAGAAACCTCGCCAAGCACGCGGGCGCGCTGGCAACAAACGCGATGAACACACGCAGCATTGCCTTGACACACTAATGTCCAAACGCGTTCGGGAACGAGCGACGAATGACCCACTGCTCGTTTGCGGCGTCAATCAATGGACGGTACAGCCTGTCCCAATAATTTAGACCTGCCCGACTAATTTTTATGCACCGCAGATAAACCAAAGAACTCGCTCATTAACCGATCGCTTATTATCGGCCGAACAAACCGCACAAAACGTAAGCACCGTGTTTACCTCGAGCAACACTGGCAAACTTCGCAGCAGTCGACAGCCAAGTTTCCCAACATCTTCCGGTGACTAGTAAGGAGCGGAGCGCAGCGCGGCGCGGCGCTGCCGGAGCGAGAGCGGTGAGATGCGAGCTGCGGGGACCTTTCCTCTCCGCAGCGCGTCGCCGTCTGCCAGAGCCCGGCCGCCGCGGCCGCGGGGCCCTCGCAGGGGCCCCCCTCCCCGCGCGCGCGCCAAGGGCGGCCAATGGGCGCTCGCGAGAGCGGGCACGCGGGGGGCGCCCGCCGCTCCTCCAATGGCGCGCCCGCTCTCGGCCCGCGGCGCCAAGCGCGCCTGACTACCACCGCGACCCAAACCCTTCGCGCCCTCAGGTGGCCAAGCGCCGCAACTCAATATACACAGCAGTGCATGTCACGCACTACACCACGCCCACCAAATCAGCAACCTCCAAGTATCGCACTTCATACAGCTTCAAAGGGCGAACCGAATTTCGAAAGTAGCCGCAGGAATTACCACTTTCTTTATTTTCAACTTCCTGCTTGGCACTTCCATCTATATTTACAAATATTTATCGCGCGCAATGTCCCCTAGGCACCTATTGTGTTCAACGAAACTACGAAATTGAACTGCAATTTCAAAATGAAGCAAATTTTAATTCGGACCATTCATCCTCTTCCAATTACAGTGGCGTATACTGACACTCCATTTACTAAGGTTTTATACACATTCCTTCGTTTGTGGACGTAAGAGCCCTAGAAGATGCAAAAGGGATGAGAAAACTGAAATGCAATGGGGCTTCTCAGAGAAAGTGATCAAGGGCCCTTCCCGCCCGCAAGCAGTCGCGCCCCGCCGCCGCCGCCGACCACGCCCCCCGCGCGCGCAGAGAAACCCATTCGGTTTGGGGTGGAGCCCCACGGACTGACTCGAGGGCCGCCCCTCGCCGGCCACGGCAAACCCGTCCCGCGACCACTCTATTAAATATTACTTATCGGATCGCAGCACTCCTCGGACACACGCGTCGCGGACGATTCCACGCACGTATTTGGGTAACCACGAGACTTGGCCCCTTCAGCTTCTTTGTACAGTTGCGACTTCTTGTGAGACGATACCCCCTCTCCTGGCTTTGCTCGAGACATAATTCTGTGGAAGCAAGGTAAAAGTTCTTTGGGTGATGGGTTAGTTAAGGGCTTACGAACTTTCACCCTTCGACCACAGCAAAGAAAATAGTTTTTTTGATTTTTCTAAGCTAAACATGGTACGTTTGAGCCGCAACATAAGAAATTCCGCCTCTTTCAAGATTGACCTATTAATCGCAATGAATTCACGGGACCTCGTTAAGGCAATTCGCCAGCTGCAACACTACTGCACTGGACATTGTCTGGAGCAGTCCGCTCCCTCCTCGCACTCGCAGCCCCTGGCGCAGAACAATCGCTCTTCTGTTACTTGTCGCATTAGCCTCTCAAAGCGCCGCGAGCGACAATGGCGCGCGCGCGTGTATCTCGCACTCGGCGTCTCGGGAGCCCATTGAGCGCCGTCGAAAGAACCTCGGGGGCTAATTGCCGCTGCCCAAATGGCGGGCGGAGCCACGCCGAGCAACGACAAGTACGCGGCGGCCACAAAGGCACTGCGGGGCCCTTACGCTCTTACGAGGGGGGGGCGGGGGCGGGGGCGGACGTACGCTCCGCCGCGCGCGATGGGCGGCCCGCGGCGCGACGCCACGCGAGGGGGTTCCGGGCTCCTGCGGTTTTGGGGCTTCCGCAGCCCCCTCTCGACCGAAAAATACCCAAAACGAACAAAAGCGGAGAACTCAATGAAATCGATAAGCTTCATGGTTACTACTATCACAAAAAAACTGACTTCGAAAGAAGACAAAATTCAAATTTTGGAAAAACGAAAAACCATGCCGAGACAATATAATTTTGAAACAAACATTGTAATATAAACGTTCGGAAACGAATATTATCAACATTTACGATCCAATCTAGTCTAAGAAATTGTCAGGTGGAAAAGCTGAATTTTGCAATGGCATTTATCACATTACCGGTTATTTGTGTGAAGTGATAAACGGTAAATAGTGTCCTCCATCGATGTTCCTACACCTCTTTTCGTAAGAAGGTGCAACCGAAGAACAGAACACAGGAGATGTGTGGCCGCGAGGCCTCACGTGGCAAGTCACCTGGCCTCCCATGTGCGCGCGCTTTACGCGCTCCGGAACGGGCGGCCGCGCCCAGCACCTCCGTCGCAAGCGGCGATTACCTCATCTGCCAGCCCTGACCGTGCGCAACTACCACTACTTCGGGCCTTTTGGACCCTCGCAGCTGCGCCGGGCAGGCGCGATGCGTCACCCCTCTCCTCTTCTCCCGCCTCCAGACTCCTGCAGCGAAGCGCCACCGCTTGTGACGTAACGAAATTAATCCAGAAAGCATTTTATGTATTACTTCAAAAATGAGTCAATTTGAAGAGATATCAAATATGCTTTATGTACTCTTAGACAATATTTAATCGAGGAAAACAAGTGTTTTAACTCTATGCCTAGCATTCATTCTTTTTTTCAATGCTGAAAGTCTAAAGTAACGTGGTCCTTATTTCTTCAGAGTATGTTCGAAAAATAAAGTTACATTCTAATTTCTATATCAATAAAACCACGGTACGTACTTGCTCACAAGACACTTCCTACTCCGCTACATATACACTGGGAACATCGGATGACCTTTTCCAGCGCAATAGTAGCATTATTACTGATCATGATACTCGATTTTGGAACAATTGTGTAGCACATGCAGGCGAATCGAAATCGTAATCGGCGTGAAGAGAAGTTGAAAGAGCGACGAGATGCATTAACATTAAGAAAATGGCACGTGCAGAGAAGTTAGAGGAGGGAATGAATGGGATAGAGAGAGAGAGAAGAAAGAAGAAAACAAGGGAGCCTACGCAGAAGAGGCGCGCGCGCCTGTGGGCCGACCGCACTCTCTCCGAGCGGTTCCCCACTATTCGGCGGCGCGCGGCAGAGGCGGCAATGCCGCGGCACTGGCGGATGGCGGGAACCGGCGCACATACCGGCGGAGTCCGTGCCCTCGGCGAGGCGGGGGGCAACGAACGCAGCACGCGCGCGCGCGAGCCAGCCAGCCAGCCGAGGGGACGCGCCGGCGCTGCGTGGGCGGAGGCGGCGGAGGAAACGCCCGCGGAAGCGACGCGGCCACACGTCACACGGCGCGCGCCACGGAACGAGCAGAGAGAAACAAACGAACGGGGCGAGGGGGAATTAGAAACGAGAAAGAAAACAACGAAAGCGGCGCGCCGCCGACTTCGCAAGGAGAAGAGGATCATCTTGAAGTCTTTCAGGAGAGAGGACCTTTCAATTGACTTTCCTCATGTGCGCTTTGGCCATTGTCCTCCTTCTACACAGGTACCAAAAAAATGTACCCGCCCTTTCCAATGCCAATACAAATTTGAGTGCATTATGCATTGTACGACAGGCTATGAATTTCAAGCGCGAACTTTTTGATGTCATTTGGGTGCTGACCAGGGGACTGCAGTTGATGTTATGCCACAAAATCAATTTTCTCCATAAGCACCCTGCAACAGCAGGTGGAATTTATTCAAATGTGATAATGTAGAGTATTTCGTTTACATTCTAGGAACAACAAGGAAAACCTGAGGGAAACGCACGGTCTTGCAGGTTGCAAGTCGTATCGCAAGGGAGAAAAGCATTAGTCCGACTGCACACCGCATGCGCCTACGAGTGTCGACTAGCACCGACCACCAGGTGTGTCCTAGAGAACGCGTAGCAATTAGTGCTTCCCGACAGCCCGCGTGTCCCCCGGATTAGGGCCCGACGGGGCGCGCGGCATCTTCGGAATCTGGCGAGGCTCGGCCACCCCCGGCCCCGGCCCCGGCCCCGGCCCCGCCGGCCGCGCCCACGAGGGCTGGCCGAAACGGCCGCCCGTCCCACCTCTAGAGCGCCAGGGCTGCGGCGTTCGTGCCCGCTCACCGGGCCAACGCCACGCGGTTCCTCCGCATCATATTTTCCGCCTTTTTACCGCTATCACTTAATGTTCAAAGTACAGGGTCTAATCTCGTAACATCACAAAAAGAAATCTTGCATAGCTACTACTAATGTATTGAGAGTATTTCAAAGATATGGCAAAATAAAGGCGATATTTAAATTTGCAAAACAACTTTGGGGATATAAATATCTTAGATACGTATTTTTATTGTTACCCACGTAATTGTTACACATATTTATACAAGTCAAAAAAATATGACTAGTAATTCGAACTTTGAATCATTATTTTATGATTATAACATAGGTAACAAACACACGATGTCGATCTTCAGGGACCCGCCAATGCAATAGGTGAAATTTCATTAAAACATTTACAAAACACTAATATTCGATACCAAAACAATGTATTTTCCCCCAGGAATCGTCCCCTACTTAAATTAAAATAAATAAATGAGGTGTTAAAAGAGTTCACACCACGACGTTCTATTTCCAAATAGATTGCCTAACATTCAGCGAAATCAGTTAGTTCAGACCCAAAGTCGTAACCTTCTGGACAGTTGCATTGAGTTTTCCACGGCTTCCAATACTGGAATGTCCATTCGCCCAACTTCGCTTGCCTATTGTTTTAACCATCCTACAGCTGCG